TCTAGCTGGGGCTTCCTGTCCATGTGCGGAGCGAACGAAGCCCCACAGCATCTACGGGTCTCTGAGTGGGTCCGGGGCCCCTCTGCCAGCCCCCAGGGACCCCTGCTCTGGCTACAGCCAGGATGGGACCCCCAGATGGAATGTGAAACCGCCTCACAGCGGGGAAAGCGGCTTTCGCCGAGACACAGGACACCGAGGCTTGGGGCAGAGAGCGCGTTCATGGCAGAGAGGAGCCCTCTCCACGGGCTGGCCACGGGGTCGGGAACCTGTCCCAACAGGCCCGACAGCAACCCCATGTGTGGGGTCGGGCCTCGGGGCACACGGGGTCCACATGGGACACCTGAGGCTCAGAGAGGGAAGTGCCCCGCCCGAGACACACAGCCTGCGGGTGAGGGGGAGCCGCTGTGCGGGGCGGGGGGCCCTGCTCACCTTTTGGGAGCAGCAGGTGCAGGACTGGCGGCGAGTGTCGCTCCAGTAGGAGGTGCCCGGGGAGAGCAGACACAGGAGAGGGCGCCACCCTGGCTCCACCGGCTTCCTTGGGGTGTCAGCGCGGGCCGTCCGCACCTCCGGCTCCCGTCCACAGTCAGGGCACACTCATTTTCACAACGGGGCTAAGCTTTGGACAGAGGTGGGACGGTCCCACAACAGAAATTACATAAATATTCCCGTCCCTATCCTGAGGGGCAACAGAGTATGAAGGATGGCCGTGTCGTCTTCCACGTATGTGAAGGATGACCGTGCACCTGCTGAGGCCGGGGCTGCAGCGGGGGCAGGGGGGTTGGGGGGAGCAGCCCAGACTCCTAGGGTTGAGACTATGGCCACTTACAGGGCAAAGCCCTTATGAAACTCCGGGTGGTGAGGCTCCTGGATGGCTTGGGGGCCGGAGCCCCTCCAGCCCTCCCCATGCCCGGTCCTGGAGACCCCTTGTACCCGCACTCCCCGTGCTTCCTGTCCCTCATTGGTGGTATGGCACTCAACCTTACTGTGGTCACGAATCCATGATCTTGGCTCTCCCAGGCCCTTGCTCTGGTGGCTGCCACCAGCACCAAGATAGCCGCTGGTCGCGACGGTGCCCTGCCAGGGCCCAGGGAGGTCCGGTCTAGGGGCAGGTCAGACACTGCAGCAGCCTAGGGGGTGGGGAGGGTGGAGGCCCCCCTTTCTCTACTTACAGGGAGGCCAGGCCCTGCCTTCCAGGCCTTGCACACACTCACCAACTCCTTTGGGTGCTCCTGGTGTTCATTTCCAGGGTAGCAAGCTTGGAGGTCCCCTGCCACCAGGGTCACCCTTATAGGTCAGTTTAGAAGTGGCCCAGGGGCCTTCCTGATCTTCCTAGAGTGGCCGCACTGTCTGTCCCAGAAGCCTGCTCCGCACCTTTGGGTCCCCAGTGCCCTGAAGGTGTCTCGCTCACTTGTGTCTCCCTGTCCTGTTGGCTCTTCACTCAGCAGGGGCCCCCCTGCCTGCCCGGCTGCGCCCCCAGTACTCCCAGGAGCGGCGCACGGCAGTGACCAGTAACAACCGGTGTCACCCCTGCTGGTGTCCACCAGCCTTCAGCGTGCAGCTTCTGGGGACCCTCAGAGGACAGAGGAGGGCTGAGGCCAGGCCAGCAGTTAGTACATTCCCCTGGTGGTACGGGGTAGGGACCATCGCACCGATCCCAGCCCCTAAACCAGGACAGGACAAGGGCTGATCCCACGTCCCATGTGTTTTGCCTCCTGCTGTGTCGCTCACTGTCCTACCCAGATCCGAGCCGCTCGGGGGCCAGCCTGGGACACCCCTCCTTCCAAAGCCTGCTTCTGAGGCCTGGCATGGCTCTCTGTCCCCCTTGGGCTCACGGGGGTCCTGAACAGGCCCCAGAACTGCCATTCACAGGATGGTTTCATGTTGCGTTTGGGTTTTAAGGGGTCTTGGCTCTTTAGAACCAGCCTCTCGGGAGCTCGGAGGGATGGGGGCCGAGCATCTCATTCCAGGAGCGGCAGGTGGTGCAGTGAACGCCCCAGAAATCCCTGGGCATCGCCAAGTGCCGAGTGGCCTGCATACACGAAGCTCAAGAGACCCAGGGGCTTTGTGGGCCCTGCAGGGGTGTCACGAATGCCACATCCACGAGCAAAAGCACGTAAGCCACGCTGTGGAAGCCACAGGCTGCAGAGGCACGTTTGTCCAAACACAAGCTTTATTTCTGTGACTCTGTTGCCCGCTTGGCCTGGCCTGTCCCAGCCCAGAGGGGATTCTCTGGGGGTCTTGCCCCCAGGCCTCCCGTGACAAAGCAGCCCGGCCCTAGCCTGCACTGGCGGGGAACGGAAAGCGAAGAGGACCAAATTCAAGGCACGAGTGAGGTTTCTCAGACTCCAGGACAGGCACGCTTCCTGACAGGACCTCTCGGGACCCGCTGCCCGCTCTCTGGGTCTCTGCAGGGCCCCACAGGTCTGGAGCGGGCCTAGGGTGGGGGTGGGGGGCAGCTGCTGGGAACGTTTACCAACAGCAGGGACCCAAGCGATGCCTTGAGCCACCGGGAACCTACTGGAGACCAGGGCCAGGGAAGGGGCTCCCAGCGTAGCGGCAGGCTGGGCCACCGCTCTCCGTCGGGTGAGGAGTGGGGGTGTGGAGGGACCCGGGTCCAGCCCAGCCTAGGCTCCCAGGGAAGGAGGGGCAGCTGGCCCCTGGCCCCCGGCCCCCTGCTCTACTGGGCCCTGCAGACGATACAGGGCCTCCATCTGTCTCCGCTTCTCCTTGGCCCGGTTGATCGTGGTCTGGAAGAGCCTGCAGAAGAGCTGGACGGCCGGGGGCGAGTCGTCGTTGCCGGGGACGGGGTAGGTGATGAGGCAGGGGTTACAGTTGGTGTCCACGATGCCCACCGTGGGGATGTGCATCTTGGCCGCGTCTCTCACAGCGACGTGCGGCTCAAAGACGTTGTTGAGCGTGTGCAGGAAGATGATGAGGTCCGGCAGGCGGACCCCGGGGCCCAAGAGGAGAGGGGCATTGGTCAGCAGGCCGCCCTTGAAGTAGCGCGTGTGCGCGTACTCGCCGCAGTCCCGGGCCGTGGTCTCAATCAGGTGCGAGAACTGCCGGTTGCGGCCCACGAACAAGATGATGCCCTTGCGATAGGCCACGTGGGCCGTGAAGTTCAAGGCCAGCTGCAGGTGCACGGCCGTCTGCTCCAGATCGATGATGTCCTGGCCGAGGCGGCTTCCAAAGACGTAGGGCTCCATAAACCTGCCGGACCCCACCCACGCAAGAGTGGGCAACGTGTGCACGGCCAACCCCGCCCGGCTAGCGGCCCCATGGGCCCTCCGGGGTCCACTAACCCCGAAACTGGCACAATCTGCAAGCCCGCCACGAGGCAGTGGGGGTGGGACGGGGGTTGGGTCCAGCTCCTCTGCCCCAGGGAGCTGGGTCCCATCACCGTCCCCCTAGATGTCTCCGAGCACCTCCCTCCCTGGCCTCCCCGACCCTCCAAAACATCCTCAATGCGGCCATCCCAGTGAGACTCTTCTCTGCAATCCTGGAGCCCCCGTCCCCTGCCCCCTGCTCCCAGGAGCTGCCAGCAATGGGTCTGCCCTGCTAGGGCCGGAAGCCTCAGAGGTACGAAGTCTGGCACGGGGACCAGAGCGGAGTGCGAGGATGAACACTTCTCCCTGGGGCTCAGTGGCCCCATCAATGGGACGGCGCTCAATCTGCTCCATGCCACCGGAACAGGAACCCCAAGGATCCTGAAGCAGAAGGGCCTCCTGCTGTGCCGCTCACTGTCCTGCCCAGATCCCTGGGCTCTGCCATACCCCGCCCAGGGAGTCCGCTACCTGTGCCGACAGCCTGCTTTGTGGCCCAGGTGCACGCGGGCGTTGAAGAGACTTCTCACGGAAAACAACTCCTTGACGTTGAAGAAGTCAGAGTGCTTGAGGGGCTCACTGAGGATCCTGTCGCTGACATCTGGGGTAGGGGGAGAGGATGCCATAGCCTGGGGACCCCCAGCTCCCAACGGTGGAGGGGAGCAACATGGGGGTGGGGAGGGGCAGTGAAGCCCGGCAGATGGGTCCTCTCCGGGAGACCCGCCTGGAGCCAGGGTCTGACCCCACTTTGCTCCTGGGGAATCCCGGTCCAGTCTTCACCCAGAAAGGAGGGGCCCGGCTGGTTTCCGAGGTCCTTCAGGCTCCACCCAGCCACCAGAGGACAGTCCCCCCAGCAGGAGTCGGGGAGGACTCAGCGGTCACCTCTCAAGGAGCCACGCCACGTGGTAATGTCTCCCTCCTCCCACCCACCCCAGGGGTGCCACCCATAAGGGTGCGGAGGGGCAGGGCAGCGCCGCTTCGGTGCGGGTGACCCCCGCGCGGACCATGCGGGGCTGCCGGGCCAAGAGAGGGAGGACGGCTGCCCCTTCTTTCCCGCCCGTACCCCTCCCCAGGGCGTCACGACGAAAGCCGGGGCCCCCGGGCCTCCCGCTGGCGGACGGTTTCAACCCCGAGTTCGGGGAGGGGCTGGCATTACCGGTGCTGCTCTCCGGCGCGCTGACGGCGGAGGTCGCGGCGCTCGTCAGGGTCCTGCCGCCCGGCAGGGGTCGCCCCGGGGTCGCGCTCGGCAGCAGGCGCGGCCGCAGCGGCCTGGACCAGACACCTGGGGAGAGAGCCGGCTGGAGGCGCGCGCCCGGCCGGGGTCCCCGCGGGTCGCGCCGCCCCCCTGCCGCGGGGACGCCCGCGCCGCCCCGGG